TCTTTCCAACTGCTGGGTCATACTGGCTCGAGTACTTGATACTAGTATCTCCTGTCACTTTATTTTGTTAATTTTAATTTTTTTGGCTGCACCGCACAGCATGTGGGATCTTAGTTCCCAGACCAGGGATCAAACCCGTGCCCCTGCATTGGAAGCAGGGAGTCTTAACCACTGGACTACCAGGGAAGTCCCTCTTCTGTCACTTTAAACCAGAAGACAGACCTACAGCTCAGACTCAGTGTGAGGGGCTGCCTAACCTAGTGATGGGGAAGACAAGATAACCAAACACCTCAAGAGCAGAGGAACATGTTAAGTCACAAGTCAAGATCAAAATGATTTATGGCTCCGGAGTCATGGTAGAAATGAAATCAATCACAAACAGACTTCGGATTCCTGAAATGTAAATTGTTTTTAATATTTAAAAGCACGCTGAAGTCTCCTTGATTTATAAAAAATAAATACATAACGTGACAAACTTATTCATGATCCTGGGACCCTTATGAGGTCAAACTCTTTAATGGATGTGATGTGTCAATGTAAAATACACATGATCTGTTATACACCCAGAAGCATATTCCAGTTGTAAGATGCCTTCAAGGACCAGAAAGAACATAGATCAGTCTTCTACTGCAGAAAGCACGTCCACAGCTGGGCGATGAGGTTGGGCCCAGGCACAGGAGCCTCTGACCAGCCAGCCTACAGTTAAGGAGCCAGGGCAGGAAGGCGCAGCCCTTCAGCTCACAGCCCCACCCTGCAAGCCAGCCAGGCTCCTCAGCTGCAGAGTGACTGGCTCCCTCAAGGGAACCACGAGGCTCCCAGCCTCTGCTGTGTCTCTGAAGCACAGGAGGGCCTGTTTTGTCCTTACTTGTGGCTCTGTCCTAAGTTTGAGAGCAGAAGACTGAGAAGGTGTGCTCATTAAATTTTTTCATTTGAACACTGAATGGAAATCATGATCCTGCCAGGAGCGCTGAGCTGAGAGAACACGAGAACTCACACTGCACTTTACCAGAGACATGGGAGCGGGTGAGGGAGCACGTGCTCCCGAGGTTGGCAAGGAGGAGTGCTTTCTCCAAACCGACATGCTCTCGAGGGTAAAGAAGTCAGGCCTAAAATACCTGAAGAGGGGATCTGGGAATCAAGTTTTCACCCCTGTAACACACAACATAAAAAAAAAACAAAACAACAACAATAAGAAAAATCCAGTCTTGTTAGTAAATAGCTGAATTTTGATTAAAACCTGAAGTGTTTCTGTGTAATCATCAACTGGCTGGAATGTATCTGGTACAGTTTAATCTGCTGTTGTTTCTTTGGCTGTCTTTCAACTAGATCTAGAAACAGTTTTGACACTCAATCCTGTTTCCCAAACCACTTAATTCCTGTCATTCTTAGGTTGGCTAGTTTTCCTCCTTCAGAAAAATGACCCACAACAATCTTTCTACTAGTGAGGGTGTACTTCTGAATAGAAGAGTCCTTCGGCTGAAATGGCATCTCCGAGGCCCACAGTTCGAACAGGATCTTTACACACCAACACTGGTGTGAAGTGGAAGGACACTCCCTCCCTGTGCCACTCGACCACTGGCTCGTTTGGGTTTAACATGACCCTGGAGCCAGCCGCCAAACGGGAGGTCATGAACTCACGGGGCGCCTTCAGAGACACTCGGCGGGTGTCTATGGTTTCTGTCGCGCAGGCCTGTGTCCCAGCCACGCGAGCTCCTGCAGCCACGGCCGCTAGCTGGTTGGCCCAGTGTCCGTCCACAGTTGCCAGGATGTGGTAGGCCAGCGTGTGGAAGTGGATCCTGGTGAGGTCTGAGGCTCTGCTTTCACTCTTCCCATGTTCCTTCAAGATCCAAAAGAGGATGTCGCTGACCACGCCCACATCAGGAACACCGGTCCAGGAGGAGAGGGAAGAGTGAGGTCCAGATGCCGACTGGCTGAGAAATAACAGCTCCTGTTCATTCAGCCCAAGGGAAGTCACAGCAGAAAAGACCTGCTAACAAAAACAAAATGCAGGTCTTTTTCTGATGGACATCTAGCTCCTAAGTACCCTAGGACACAGCCGACGACTAATGTCAGGGAGGGCAGGTAGGGCCGGCATCTTTCTTCTTTACCACAAGACTCCCTGCTCCTGAAGTCTGCGAGGGGAAGTGACAGATCAAGGTCCCTATTTTGGCTATTACACCTCTATCTCCACGCTCATCATCACTTGTGGTCAACTGGAAAGTTGCAGTAACTCTGTATTAGAGCCAGTCTCCTGTTTATATGCTGGAATACAAAGGCAGAGGGGTACACTCTGCATTGCTTTCCACGGTACCCAGTTTCTGCCTCTGCACACACAGCAGAGGCTCTCACCACCGACGGGGCCTGACTCTCAGTTCCTGAATGTCAGCAGGTGTCACACCAGTACAGTGGAGAAGCCCACAGGCAGGGTTGTAAGGGTTCCTCACACACAACACCAAGAAGCAAGGAGAGTGGCTTCACGTCTGATCTAAGCTTTCTAAGCAGATGTGGGTTAGGAAGACTGAATTTAGTAATAACACTGTGTGTGACAGGGCACCAAACAAGAGCCATGGTTTTCTATCTTGAGGGGTACCAATATGTCTACCTTGCTATCTTTCTTACTTAGCACTTCCTTCCTTAGAGCCAGGGACCTGAATAAGGTGAATGTTCGTGCAAGAGAGATGAGCCCTGTGGGTATGCAGGGGTGGGTCTGCACACGCATATATTTTTTTAAAAATCAAGGGCCTGGGAATTCCCTGGCGGTCCAGTGTTTAGGACCGCGCACTTTCACTGCCGAGGGCGTGGGTTCAATCCCTGGTTGGGGAACTAAGATCCCGCAAGCTGGCGCGGTGTGGCAAAAAAAAAAAAAAAAAAAAAAAAAAAAAAAACTTGAGTGTATCTGAGGATTCCTTGTGGTCCAGAAATTAATAAATCCCATATATAAAAAAAAAAAAAAAAAAAAAAAAAAAATCAAGGGCCTGTCCCTTTGCTAATGTAACACCACTTCTGTTTACTGCATGTTCTGTTAGACATTGAGCTACCGGCTCTATTTCATTCACTTCTTACTGTAACGCTCTGAGGGAAGGAGGGATTGCCTCCATCTTACAGATAAGGGGACCGAGACTTAGGAAGGTTAAGTAGATAGTTACACAGAAAATGAGATAAAAATGGCTTTTTAAAGAAGTGAAAAAATAACCTCAAAAAGAGAAATATGAGAATAAAAATTATACCGAATGGGACTTCCCTGGCAGTCCAGCGGTTAAGACTCTGCGTCTCCACTGCAGGGGGTGCGGGTTCGATCCCTGGTCAGGGAACTAAGAGCCCACATGCCGCAAGTTGTGGCCAAAAAGTAAAAAAAAAAAAAAAAAAAAAAAAAACCAAGGGCCTGTCCCTTTGCTAATGTAACACCACTTCTGTTTACTGCATGTTCTGTTAGACATTGAGCTACCGGCTCTATTTCATTCACTTCTTACTGTAACGCTCTGAGGGAAGGAGGGATTGCCTCCATCTTACAGATAAGGGGACCGAGACTTAGGAAGGTTAAGTAGATAGTTACACAGAAAATGAGATAAAAATGGCTTTTTAAAGAAGTGAAAAAATAACCTCAAAAAGAGAAATATGAGAATAAAAATTATACCGAATGGGACTTCCCTGGCAGTCCAGCGGTTAAGACTCTGCGTCTCCACTGCAGGGGGTGCGGGTTCGATCCCTGGTCAGGGAACTAAGAGCCCACATGCCGCAAGTTGTGGCCAAAAAGTAAAAAAAAAAAAAAAAAAAATGATACTGAAAAACACCAGGAATGAACCCTAATGTAAACAATGGACGTTGCGTGATGCTGACATGTGAATGTAGGCTCACTGACTGTTGCAAACGCCCCATTCTGGGGCAGGGGACGTTGATGGGGGAGGCTCTGGGTGTGGAGGGCAGGGGCTACATGGGGCTCTACATTCTGCTCAACTGTGCTGTGAGCCTAAAACTGCCCTAAAAGTAGTCTATTAAAAAAAATTATTCTGAAATACCACTTTTTACCTGTCAGATTGGTAAGAAAGCATGTTTTTAACCACATTCCAGTGGCAAGGATATGAGGAAACAAGCACTTGTAGAGAATTCTAGTGGAAGTAAACTGGTACAGTGCTCATGGACGAGAATTCTGCAATATCAAACTTACAAATGCTTTTTGTGCCCCAATCTAGCAATTCTACTTCTGAGAACTTATCATACACATGTACCTGCTCATGGGCAAAATAAACTCATGTACAAAGTTACTTGCTGAAGTGCCATATGGGACAGCGAAGGGCAGACAGCCAAATGCCCAGCTTTGGTTGGAGTTAAAGACACTGGATGCACCACACGCTTCTTCTAACCAAGTGATGACAAAGAGGAGATCTCCAAAACGCATCCAGTGAAAGAAAGCAAAGTGTACAACAGTGTATGCAGTATGCTATGCTATCTTTGGGGGTAAAAAGGGATGAAAAAATAAGGCTTATATTCCCATATTTGCTTATATACGTACACAATAACTCTGGAGGGAGCAGGTGAAACTAGTAAAGAGGTTACTGACAGTGGATACAGGGGGCAGGAGGAAGTGAGACTTCATGTATATATTTTAATATTTTTTGAGTTTTGAACCACATGAATATATTACCCATTAAAGAGGTTAAATAACAATAAATGAAAGGTTAACCTGCCTAAGTTCACAAAGCTAGCGAGTGGCAAAGCTGGCATTCCAACCCTGGTTTCCAAAGTCTGTGCTCTTAAGCACCACACTCTTGGATTTATCTGATCATTGCTACTGTCGAAAGGCTGAACACCTCAGGGCCTGACGGTGAGGGAGTCAAGCGGCCCCCCAAACTTCCTTTCTCTGAACTTCTTGAAGTTCAACTGAAAGCACCCAAGTTGGGCTTTCAGTTTTCTCCTTTGAGTTCTGCTGCAAAAGGCATTCACTTCCAACTTCCCCATTCCAGAAGGAGAAACACGCCCCAAGAGCCCATCAGTAACACCGCCATATTCCTAATCTAGTAGGAGATCCTGTTCCAGCACAGTCCTGGCTCCTGGACTTGGATCTCATGGACCCAGATCTGAGTGAGACAACACCCACACCTCAGTGACCCCCCGTGCTGCCCGTGGGTTACCTGATGCACAATGCTGCTCATGAGCTCCCTGTTGGTCATGCTGGCCAGCTCCAGGTGAACTGGAATACCCGTGGGGATGTCAGAAATGGAGGTCATGACCTGGAGAGACAAGAGGAGAGCACTACCATCAGAAACAGAAGGAAGTCAGGCAAGAGGGAAGGAACAAGTCCCGAGAGGCAGTGCATCCTCATGAAAGCTCCCGGCCACGTGGGCGGCCACAGACACTGTGGACAAGGGAGGCTTTTCCCAACAGGGAAAACCAGGCTCTGCAGAGAGGCACTGGGGTTAAGGACTCAGAGCACACAAGGAACCGCCCCTGCACGTTCACGCAGCCAGCCTCTTCCTGGGGACCTAAACTGAGCAGTCAGCTTCAACTGCTGTGTGAATCTGCAGCACAGCTGATGTGAATGAGATGATACAGAAAACACAAAGGACACAAACTACAGACACTGCAGTCTGCAGCCACGTTCAGTTTAGCACAGGAAGCAGAGGCTCAGGGAAGACGATGTTCTGATCTGTCCTACTCAAGATGCTGCCCGTGCCTGAGAGAACCCCATGAGGAGCCTCGCTGGAGTGGGAGGCAGGCTTCTCGGCTGCCACGACACGTCCCGGGAGGCCAGGACCCAGGGCAAGGCAGCGCAAGCTGCAGAGGCTGAGGGAGGCAGGGATCTGAAGGAAAACACTAGCTGCGATCTGTGAAATTCCGTAACAGTGCTATTACCTCCAAGAGTCTCTTCCTCTGGAACTCCTTGCTTTGTCCCTCCATCATGTGCAATCCAGAGAGGACCACCAGGTCTGGCTGAAACTCCTCCAGGCTAGACACAAACACCTCCAGCATATTCATGGCCCCGTTGGAGAGGTCGTGGGAGAAGATGAATCGGTTGGCATGGGGAGCTTTTAACTGGCCCCACTCCTCCCCTAGAAAAGCCCAGTCAACACAATGGGAAGAAAAGGAAGAGGCTTTAAGTCTCCTAGCTGTGCGGGGGCTGGCAGGGGCCTCACTGGAGCCTTGGCTCTGGGCAGGCTGGCCTCTGGCTGAGTGGACCCCGGCTGCCATGGCCTAAGGGAAGCATGGTGCCGCAGCCAGGAGGATGGTGGTCAGAAAGAAACAAACCCCAAAACCCCAACCCCAGCCCCACAAAAACACAGAAACACAGCACGGGTGCTGTGTGCCTTTGTCAAGGAGCTGGCAAGTAGCTGCCCTCGAGTTCCAGGGAAGCTCTCCTGTCCAAACACAGGACGCTCGTGTCCCTCCCAGTCGCAGAGCACAACTTCCAAACACTGGTGCACAGTGGGCACCATGCGGGTCCCCGAACGTAGGACATGCTGCCTTTCCCAAAGCACCTTCCACCTCACAGTAACGCCCCAGCACCTGTCATTTAGCTGGGACCTAAGGAGGCTGGAATGACTGTACCTCCTCCTCCCTGCCGCCCACTGGTGGTTCCTGGGCACTGGATCCAGAAGCTAAGAGTATCTGGCTGCTCTAGCCTCCCGTGAGTGAGCTGCTTTGGAATAATGAATAATGAATAAAAGACTAAGTTCAAGTGTTACTACCTCCTGAAAGGGTTGCCAACTGCTCCAGCCTGAGGTGTACTCTCACTGCTTTGAGGATCCAGAGATTCTCCTTTACGTGGTTTGGTGATTCATCACTTTGCTTTGAGTCCTCTCTTCTACTATGTTAACTAGTATTCAAACTTGTATCATTACTTCACTTTTCGCAGGTTTGTGCCCCATCCCCCCTCAACACTGTATGTCTCTGATTCCCACAGCCCAGTCACAGTCCCCTGCACAGAGTGCCCACTCAGCGTTCACTAATCTGATTCAAGCAGAGGGAGGCCAGACCCTCCCTGGTAGGGTCTTGGGCGGGGGCAGGAGCTGGGAGTCTGTGTGCAGCTACAGGAGTACCTCTCGGCACCGGCCAGGAGGCCGCATCTCCAGCGGAACCTAGTTTTTAATGTGCAGGTGGCAAGGCCCCACCCCTGGAGACCCGGATGTGCAGTCAGGTGGGGAACTACCAACTGAGAGCCCCCAGCTGCCAAGCACTTGAGGGGAGTGCGCCAGTGCCCGAGTCCTAGGGGAGGGGGGCAGTGGGGGGCGGAGAGGCCTCTCTAAGTTCACTTGGTGCCATCCCATGCGCATCCCACATTCCTCTCCTTGAAGTCTTGAAAATCTCAAAACTCAGCCTGAGGCAGTGCCTTGGAGGCTATGTCCCCCAAGCACCAGGAGGAGCAGTCACCCCCAGCCTGGCGCGCTGCCCGAGACTGGGGGGCAAGGATTTATGACCTAGGGTTACACAGCTCTCCCTCCACGCAAAGGACCGGTCCCATTTACAAAGTCAAAGCCCATATGCTGAAGCCTAGTCTTTCATTGGTTTTATCATTTACTGGCTATTCCTTCAGAAAGTTTTTCCCCATGGCAGCCACCCCAGCAGAGGGTCTCCTCACGCTGCCGGCCCGCCCCGGGGTCAGCGCCCTGCTTCCTGCTTCCTCTGCCAACAGCCGCAGCCCCGCCTCCCTGCAGAGTGCGTGTAGGGGGAGGGGCGGGGCTTACTCTAGAGCGGGTGTCAAGGCGGGGAAAACCCATCCTTCCTTTGCTCTGAGTTCACCTTTACCGAATCCATTCCTCTGAAAAACATTTCATACGTGGGTCATTTGTATAACAGGAAAGAAAACATCACCTATTTCCTAAAACCTGATGTAATGGTTATACTTGTTAAAACACCATGTTCCTTTCTTAACTCCTGGCCCATGCCTTATTATTTGTCTGAAGAAAATACCCAATGGTGATCCACACGGCTGACAGCAGCATTCCAACTCTGCTTCATCTCTGAAGACCCAACGCAGGGACGGCCTCCCCTAGGAAGCCTTTCTGACGAACTCTGCCACCTCCAAGCAGACTCGATTACAGTACCTCCCTCCCTGGGCCACCACTGGGCCTTATTATAGGACTTGGCACATAACTGTGCCATCATTTATTCAAGACTCCACCTCCTGTAGGGAA